CTCCCGGACTGTGTATTAGGGAACCTGTGTATAGCTCCCGGCTGTGTATGAGGGAACCTGTGTATAGCTCCCGGGCTGTGTATTAGGGAACCTGTGTATAGCTCCTGGGCTGTGTATTGGGAACTGTGTATTGGGGACTGTGTATTAGGGGTATAGCTCCTGGGCTGTGTATTGGGACTGTGTATTGGGGACTGTGTATTTGGGAACCTGTGTATAGCTCCCGGACTGTGTATTAGGGAACCTGTGTATAGCTCGCAGACTGTGTATTAGGGACTGTGTATTGGGGAACGGCGCTTTCTCTCATGTGTAAAAAGTAAAAACATCCCACGAAAAACACCAGCTGGTTTAAAATAGATCCTGTTTATCATGTAGCGCATGGTGCAGGCGATAAAAAGTCTGAAGTGTGATTCAAGCTTTCACACCAACTACGTGTATTTATTTTACACGGTACTAATTTTAAAGAAACCTTACAGCTTGCACAATATCCTATGAGGAATCTGCTTAAAATTCTCGCTTCAGCCGACGGAATGCCATTATTATGGGCAGTGCACTGTCAGACCTAGCAATTGTCTTTCTTAAAGGAGCACTTTGTGTAATAACGCACCAAAACAACTTTAGCTTAAAGGGAAACTATACTGCCAGGAAAAGAAAGTTGTTTTCCTGACACTATAGCTCTCCCCCCCTTCGTGATGCAGAAAGGGTTAAAAGCAATGCATTCCTATGGGGGTTCCGGGTGACGCTGGAGGTACTGATGCACAGCGTGCGGACGTCCAGTATCAAAAGGCAAAAATTGCCTAATGGCCCGGAAGTCCATCTAGTGGTTGTCTGGTAGAGGTGGTAAAGGTGGAGTTAACCCATGAATTTAAGTATTGCAGTTTATTAAAAATCTGCAATAATTCGTTTTGCAGGGTTAAGGGTGCTGGGACAGTGCACCCAAAACACTTAAGTAAGCTGAAGTGGTATTGGTGCCTATAGTGTCCATTTTAATGAAGCCCTTACAATCTCACTGCTCAAATCTCTGTCACTTAGGAGTTAAATTACTTTTTTTATTCGGCCCTAGCCACACCTCTCTGGCTGTGACTCAGACAACCTTCCTAAACACTTCCTGTATAGAGTGATATATTTTATTGACTTGCTTTATTGCACAGTTTAATTTAGAATTTCTAATTTCATGCTCAGGAGCATTTTTGTCCATGCAGGCTGTGTCAGTCACAGCCAGGGGAGGTGTGACTAGGGCGGCATAAACAGAAGCAAATGTGATTTAACTTCTAAATGGCAGTGAATAATGCAGTGAGACTGCAGGGGCATGACATATACTCCCTAACTTCCTTAAGCTAAAGATGTTTTTGTGCCTATTGTGTCCCTTTAAATGTTAACATGGACTTTCATCTACAGAATGCAAAGTCCTCTTCAGATAATTGACATAATTAGCTTTAACAGGGTGCTTGCACAATGGGCAGTCCACGTATGGTATAAATGCCATCCTTGCCAGAATTTTGTGGCTTGGTCTTCCTGCGCATGGTGTACATGACAGTGCTGGTTAGCATGACATCCAGTCTTCCTTAGCGTTTCTGTGCTGCAGGAATTGCTGGGATGTCGTGCTTAGCATTATGAGAACACACTGCTGCTCAAACACCCGTTCCGATTGTCATATTGCGCTACTTTAGACCTCGCTAGTTGTGGCACAGTCCGTTGTATGATACAATGTATCCTAAGGGGTCTCCGGCACACTCCTAAAATATTAAACCTCAAAGTAATCTAGAGCTTCTAATTGTTTCTGTGTGCTGACATTTTAATTTGAAATGACCTTGTTTTTGTTTGAACACAAGGCAATCTAATATGTTTTGAATTTCTGAACTGTTATTAGGTGGTTGTATGAACACATAAAGGTCCTGCAGGCTGCCCATATAGATCCTTCCAAAGATCCCCAAAAGGCGTCCCTGATTCAGATTAAAAAGAAAAAGCAAGTTATTGTAAATCTGATTTATTCTGTTTCAGGATATTTTTAATCCTATTTTCCTGTATTCTGGCATTGTAAGGGTTACAGTGTTCAATACCACGCTCTAACCTTATTAGGAATATTGCTCAGGATTTAACATGGATAAGCTGGCATTTGCCACATGTGGCATGTTCTGCCATAATAACCCTGGGATAATGTTTAGCCCCATATGGACACAGACGCTTCACTTTTTCAGCTCTTCCTTGGATTCTATTAAAGACAGGAATTGCACACTCCGTTATATTAACCTTTATCAGTTAAGAATCTTCCTGCGGATTCAAACGGTTCCTTCCACTAAAACCAGAGTGCCAGGGTTTGATCATTTTTAATTGCTCCGCTGCTCAAAGAGCTGGTGTACACAAACTGGTAGATTTTTGTATATTTTTTTATGTGTTCCTGAAAAATAAATAAATTAAAATAAATAAATATATATATACACATTTAGCATTAGTAGTAATTTATGATTTAAAGAGCAAATAATCAAATTATAATAGTGCAAATATCTTCGCAAATTAGATTTTTTTTTAATTTTATTTTTTTGCACCAT